TTGTGAGTTCAGCATTCGTTTCGTGTCGTCCATCCCAATCAACGTGAAGTTGAGCACTCACTGGATCGATGTTCGGCCGCCGCCTGCTTCTCGGCCTGCTCCATCTTCGCTTTCAACTTGTCGTACAACCGCTTCTCGGACGGGGACAGAATGTCGGGCTGGGAGGTCTTGCCATTTCTCTCTGGGGTTTCCTGCCTGCCGCGCTTGGAACCCGTGGCGCCCTTCGATGAGGCTTTCGTAGCGGTGGAGGACTTCTTAGCAGCCGGCGCTGACTTTACAGCGGCCTGACCAGTCTTAGCCTTCGTGGTCGGCTGGCCGGTGGGCTGGCGTGCCGCACTACGGAGAGACTGACGTGTAGCCATTCCAAGGTGCAGTACGTTCACTGAGAGCGAGCGGTGGTGAGTGTTGACGGAACAGTGAAAAATATCAGATAACACACCGTGTGAGCGGACTCTGACTCACCGCTGGATGAGGTTCTCGAAGTCTTCCGTCGGTCGTAGCGGTCGCGCGAACTTCGGAGGATGATGGAAGCCAAGTGCAAGAGCATCGGACCGCACTGCGGGCATGAGCACATGAGACTCGCGGCTGGTCGCGGTTCTGGAAGCCTTCGAACCAGACAGCGTTGTTAGCGTTAGCGCTGAATACAATCTATACAGTTGATCTACGTAAGCACTTCAAGATTCACAACACTTGACAGGCAACTTGAAGGCTGAGTTTCACGAACTCGAGTATATTACACAGACGGTCTACCAAGTGTTCCTGAAAGTCCTGTGGTATACTTCGAGCCTTGTCGTTCTTTTGCTGGAGTTCATTCATTGAAACGGTGCAGTAATTTTGAAGCACACAGGCGCAAAAACAAACACATACCGTTAACAAATTCGTCATTGACTGCTACTGTACAAGCTGTGTCAACTCGCCGTATTTGACTGTCCATAAACGCACGTCTGCTACGCATTCACACACGGTAACAGGACTACACCGCGATACGCAGTGCTCAAGCGGCGGTTTGCAACGGCGAACCACCCCATCACATCGTGGAGAGCAACGGCTCGTAGACTCGACCTCCAGCATGGAATTGGTGGCTGCTGCTGGGCTGTTACCTGACGCACAACGGTTCGGTGCAACCCAGATCGTTGACGATGGAGACGCGAGCGAGGGAAGGCAAGGCGGAGGCCACAGTGCGTTGACGGTGAGCGGATGCGGAGGAACTTGATGCTTGAACATCGAACTGCGGTGGATGCTGCGGTGGATGAGCGACAGTGAGCGATCAGACCCGCCGAGTATGCACAGGTGCGCGTACTATAGAGACTGATTATAGTACTTACATAGACCGCTGCTTGATGACGATGGTCCCGGGCGGCTCTTCCTTCGCTGCACCATCTGCGCCCGCTGTTCCCGAACTCGTTGTCCCAGAGGTCGCGCCTCCGCCCCATGAGCCTGTAGCCCCGGTGCCTGGCGCGCGCATTGCTGATGCTCCCGCGCCTGAGCCTCGCTGATCTTCTCGTCTTCCCATTCCCTCCCAACTGCACGCCCCTTCACTTCGCGGGTCGACCGCACGTTGGCTGACATCCGCGCTTGTACCTCCTGAGTTCCGCCTGAGTTAACGATCCGCAGGGTCCAGCGGGAGGTACGGAACGTCCCAGAGCAGCGGCTGGCCGGCGCGCCTCGCGACTCGAGCCCCTTCTTGATCCCGTCCTGGTGCTGACTGGAGAAGGCGGTGAAGATGAGCTCCCCGGCGTAGGGGTGCCGGGGATGGACAGGGATGGAGGTGAGCTCGGTTACGAGGTCTATCGTGGATTGTATATTGCTGAGGTCCAGTCTGCAAGGCACGCTTTGCGTATACATGTTGAGCGTGACGGCGACGAGGTCTACGCTGCCTGACCGCTCACCGTTCCCGAGAAGACAGCCCTCGACTCGGTCGGCACCGGCGAGCAGTCCGAGCGCGGTCGAGGTACCGCCTGCGGTAGGTAGTGGTGCGTCCTCTGGGAGCCTCGCCGCACGCTTTGTTGTGACCATCTCGGTGTTTCCTCGCGCAAGCACGGACTAGCTCGTCTTGACGCTTCAATCGACAAGCTTGCCGTCGGAGGCGCCGCGGTGGGTTGGCTACGGGGCGTGCGGTTGTTCTGCATAACCCGGTAATCGGATGATTTGTCTTGCAGGTGGTCCGAGTGAGAGGCGTAGAATTGGTAGAGCGCTTGAGGCCGGCCATTGAGAAAACGAGAAGCTAGACACGAGAAACGAGACATAAGAACGGGGCCTAAACGAGACAAGAAACGAGACTCGAGAAACAATCGAAGTCGCAGATCACGTGACCACACCTGGCGCCCACAGGCTGCCTTCAGTCTCGGAAGTGTAGTTGCATATTTGAAAAAGTGAAGCGAAACGAAAGCAAAGAAAACACGGCCGGGTTCGTAGGTATCATTAATTTATCAGTGGGGCCCACATTAGAACTACTACAATAGTAAGCCTACTGGAAGTGATTGCTGGAAGCCCAGCCATTCCGACGATCGTTCTCGGTCCATTTACACATTTCCCTGTCTGAATGTAAAACAATGGAGGCACGAGTATGTGGTATTATGCACCTATGGGGTATACCATCATTAGTAGATCACAGCATAATTTTCCCATGACTTAGGGATGCCTAGTGAAGCTGCAAAACACAAAAGAGCCCCACTGGCTGGCCAAATCAACTGGCCAGAGATTTCACTCACCCAGGTTTTGGCTTTACTGGCCATAAAATTAGCCAGGTTGTCCCTACAGGGCCAAATCAATAGGCCGGACATTTCAAACCATTGGCCGGGCATTTTAGTTCATTGGCCGAAGCTTTCAATTCACTGGCCGAAGCTTTTACTTCATTGGCCGAAGCTTTTACTTCATTGGCCGAAGCTTTTACTTCATTGGCCGAAGCTTTCCTTCACCGCCGAAGCTTTGGATTGACCGGTCGGCTGAAGCTTCTACTTCACCGGCCGGCAAAAACAGCCGGTGCTCGGCAAAACTGGCCGGCCGGTGCGCAAAAATGGCTGGCCGGCAGGCAAAACCGGCCGGGCTGTTGAATTACTATATGTGGAAATGTGGTATTGTCTGGAAGCCCTTCATTCATAGAGTCTAGTATTGATTTCCTAGTGTCCAAAGGTACATAGTTAGGCCAGGATATGCGAGACAAGATTTACTCACAGGCTTCTTTGCAAAACATGTTATTCAACTGTTGAAGCCAATATTCTTTGCCCACACTGTTTGACTATCTAGAATGTGTTATCACAATGCATAGAGTAGATCCCCAAAAGGAATAGTCTTATTCTTTGAAGCTGAATGCAGAACATGAGATAAGGGGTAAGGTATAGTATACATGTCAAACAATGTTGACTTCCTGCAGCCAATCTACATTCCAAACACAGTTTCACAATCTAGAATGGTTCATTTACACACAAGGAGTGAGTCGTCCAAAGGAATAGTCTTATTCACATGAGCTGAATGTGGTACAGAGTTAAGGGGATCATGCACAGGCCGGACCATCTCCTATGAGGATTGGCCGGCCGGACCATTACCAACAGTGGGTAGATGTTTCTGTGCCATTCTTGATTGCCAAACCTTGTGGGCAAAGCATATTGGCTTCAGGATGTCAACACAGTATAACATGTATACCCATATACCCACCCTCACCTTAACTCTGTGCTGCCTTCAGCTTGTGTGAATAAGACTATTCCTTTGGAGGACTGATTCCTTGTGGATCAATGAACTATTCTAGATGGTAAAACACTGTTTGGAAAGAACATTAGCTGCAGGAAGTCAACATGTATACCATACCTGTATACCCCTTATTTGTTGTCCTGCATTCAGCTTCAAAGAATAAGACTATTCCTTTTGGGGATCTACTCTATGCATTGTGATAACACATTCTAGATTGTCAAACAGTGTGGACAAAGAATATTGGCTTCAGGAATTGAATAACATGTTTTGCAAAGAAGCCTGTGAGTAGTAAATCTTGTCTTGCATATCCTGGCCTAACTATGTGTTCTTGGAAACTAGGAAATTGATACTAGACTCTGTGAATGAAGGGCTCCCAGACAATACCACATTTCCACATATAGTAATTCAATAGCCCGGCCGTTTTTGCGCACCGGCCGGCCATTTTTGCCGAGCACCGGCTGTTTTCGCCGGCCGGTGAAGTAGAAGCTTCGGCCGGTCAATCCAAAGCTTCGGCCAGCGATGAAAAGCTTTGGCCAATGAAGTGAAAGCTTCGGCCAGTGATCAAAAGCTTCGGCCAGTGAGAAAAAGCTTCGGCCAGTGAGAAAAAGCTTCGGCCAATGAAGGAAAAGCTTCGGTCAATGAATAAAAAGCTTCGGCCAATGAACTAAAATGCCCGGCCGATGTTTTGAGATGTCCGGCCATTTAATTTGGCTGGTGGCAGCTTCACTAAGCCCCTTTAAAATGTGGGAACACTATGTTGGGCTCCATTAGTGATGGTCTTACATATACAATCATTCAAATCACACTCTGTATCATAATACAATAGGCCGAAGGTTTTTGAATGCTCTCGGCCAGTGTTTGCATGGCTGGCCAGTGAGCTAACAGCTCAGGCAATGTGATAGGGCATGCACTGTGGACATATACATGCTACTAGTAGGCTGTTCTAAGGGAGTATGGTCTATTGTTGACTGGCCCAGCCAATACTGGGTCACAATACTGTTGCCCGGCCGGACCGTTACCAGTGTGGAGTGCTAGATTATATGGCCTGGCTAGCCTGCTATCAATGTGGAAAAATGGTCCGGCCACTCCGTTGCCAGCTAGAGATGATGCAACCCGGCCGGTCTGTTATTAGCCAGGGAGCATATGCTCCGGCTGGCCCATTGCAACTGCTGAATTATGCACTCCGGCCGGCCCGTTACAAATGAAGGATCCCATTGCCCGGCCAGTTCGTTACCATAGGAGAAAGAGTATCCCGGTTGATCTGTTATAATTAAAACCCCTTATTGCCCGGCCGGTCTGTTGCCAGCAAGACACTAAATGGCCCCCCTGTTCAGACAGAACATAGGTGCCCTAGGGATACACCGGCCGGACCGTTTGAACTGGTTTGAGATACACTCGGCCGGCTTGTTAGAAACCAGTCCGGCCGGCCTGTTTGCAACGAGGAAATCACAGCTCCGGCCGGAGGCGGCTTTACCGTTTGCAACGGTCGAAATGCACTCCGGCTGTACCGTTAGTATCGAGTAGGTACCACTGAATAATGTGCAATACATCGCACGCAAGGCCAGACTTACTGCTACAACACACATGAGTAGTGCACCACACGGATAGTGGACAGATCCGTAAATGGCTGCGTCAGTCGCCTGCAGGTGATAGGCGAGAGTCTCAAGGATCGGACGAGATTGGAAGCGGCCGTGTCTCTTCTTGAAAGCGGCGAGCAGTAGTTAGCATCTTGACACTTCTAAGGCAAGGCACATACTGTAATCGTGCCATCGGTTTGATGGCGCCAGTCACGCCAGAGGAACAGGGCCGTGCCCATCGGATCAGACTCTCCCCTATGGAGCAGTCTCTCAACGTATTTGGCACGGTCGGCAGCCGGCATTATGCTGTCACCCCAGTGCTTCTGAACAGCAGCGACAGCGTTCTTGCCTATACTAGTACGCCAGTCGTGGCATTTACGCCCTGCCTAGATCAAGGTCCACATCCGAGTCAGTGGGCTGTCATCGAAGATGGAGGAAGGAAAGTTGGTGCTTGCCACAACAAAAACCGGGGACGAGTTGGTGACGACGTGCTTGATGGTAGGGAAGATATCATTCCAGCACTTCTGGAGATAGACCATGTCGTTTGCATCCTGCGTGGCCCAAGGATTGTCCAGCCGACCGAGGTGCTCGAACAACGTCGGGACGAACAACGAGATCCAGTCCTTTGGCGAACAAGGGAGATCCTCGTTCGTGATACGCTTGACCGGCTTCCGCTCGTCGCATGCCTTGTTCTGTTTGGCGACCTGGCTGGCAGCCTTCTTGGCGGCCTCATCGGGCTTCTCACGGTTGACAGAGACGATCCCCTGCTTGACAAGTGAGCAGATTGTGAGAAGAACAGCCGCAACAGCCGTAGTACTAAATAAGAGCGCACCTTCGAGGTGTTGCGCTGCTCAACGGCACGGTTGCTGTGTGCCGCAGAGCCAAGAGACGTTCGCGCCGCGGGTCCGCCTGCTTTCTCCGAGTCCTGTTCATCGGCGTCTGAGTCGGCATACCCAGCCTTCTCCGGGGTGTTGAGTTCCTCCGAGCTATCAGCACCGTCGTCGAGGGGAGAGATACTGCTCGCGGCCGTGAGTTCAAAGATGGAAGCCATCTTCTGCTCACGGCGGGGAAGCACGTTCTCCTTCGTAGCAGGCTTCGAGCTTGCAGTGGCCTGCTGATTCTTGCGGGATGCGCGGGATGCAGGGCGCGCCGGTGTCTTCGGTTGCGCCGGCCAGGTGGAAAGAAGCCCAGATGGGTTCGCAGGCTTGACGCGCTTTGCGTCGGGAGGAGGCTCGGAACTGATGCCATGTGCTTGTGAGTGAGAGAATCAACACAACAGTTTTCGACGTACACCTCGGCCGAAGAAACATCCGACTTGCGCTTGTTTCCAGTTTTGACCGGCAACGACTCGGAAGTAGACGGTTCTGCCACGGGCTCGGAAGCGCCATGACAGAAGGCCTCTACCTCCGCACGCCCTGGCTTCTTCCTCTTAGGCTTCGGCTTAGGGACGGCCTGCGAGCCTGGATCTGCGTCGAGAAAGTCAGCATTAGATACCTGTAGGTACCTTTGATAGAAGTGTGACTCACTAGTTGCAGACACTTGGGCGGGTGCAGAAGCAGGCTGCGGGATGGAGGAAGAGGCGTGCTGCTCGAGATTGTCACGTCGGAGCATCGCATCTTGGTGCTGCGCAAGCACCTTGAGCGTCGAGGTTGTCGCCACCTCCTCGTTGCGCTTCTCTTCAGCCTGTTGCTTGCGAAAAGCGGCCATCTGAGCTGCAGTTCGACGTGGCTGCTTGTCGGCCGCCTCGAGATCAAGGACGACTTGACCCGGGTGCTGGAACGTGTTCGTTGCTCTCGTTCTCGGCGGCATAGCAGTACTGTAACGAGTAGGTAATGAGAAAATGAGAGTGTGAGTGCTCCGGGCAGGAGAGTAATGAAATTAGCTAGGATTAATGGGGAGGCAGTTACAGCGAGAGGAAGGGAGGGTGACGGTGAGCGACGTGTCAAGGCTTGATAAAGAGGTATGGCGTGATAACGGCCGGAATAATGTGCCTCGCACCTGTCCCGGGCCCGTTGTGACCCGATGCAATGCACATGGTCTACCGGCCCAGAGGCTGCGCCACTGAGGGCCGAAGGGGCGCCGACTGCAGGTCGAAGTCCCGTACTTCGTGTGCTAGAGCTGCTTGATATCCCTCTCCAATGAGCCGACAGACAGCGGCGGACACTCCTGGGAGCTCACTACGTCGTCAGCAATACAAATCGCGTCAGCATTACTGCAAAACATGCGGAAAGCCCTGCAGGAACCTCTCGGGACTTACCCAACATCGCAATGCTGCTCATCCAGTTCCATATGACGACCCATCCACACCTCGCAGCTCGTCAGACTCGGAAAATGACGAAGAGGATGAGCTTACACAGGGCCCTCGGAGTCCGACAAATTCGGATGCAATGGGGCACAATGCCCTGGACGAATCTGTTGCTGCTGAGGGAGGTGTTGCATGCGAGCAGGAGACGGAGAGGGGAGGCGAGGAACACGCAGCACGGAAGGATGAGCTGAGAAGCCAGGATCATCGTCATTGTTGTGGTAAGTCCATCTCAGCATTGATATACTATGCAGAGTTGACGACGTACTTTGCACACCAATTAGCCCTTCCTTGTGACGAGAGTGGTGCACCCTGGCCAGACAACATGCCACCGCCACCGCGGACCATTGCTCGCTTCGGTGACTATCGGCCATACCGAAGTCGACTGGAGTTTGAGCTCGCGGAGTTCCTGTTCAAGAAGGAACAGATGTCGGGCGCGCGCATCGACGAACTGCTGGACCTGTGGAAAGCGTCACTTATCCCTTTTGGAGCAGACCCACCTTTCGCTGATCACCAGGATTTGTATAATGTCATCGACGCGACAACAGTAGGTGACGCGCCGTGGGAGTCGTTCACAGCACGATACACGGGCGAGCTTCCAGACGGTGACGTTCCGGCATGGATGACGGCAGACTATCAGATCTGGACGCGTAATCCGCGTACACTCGCTCACCTTCTCATCGGAAATGTCGACTTTGATGGACAAGTCGACCTCTGCCCGCATCGGCTCTTCAATACCCAAGGAACGCGCCACTACATCCATGTAATGTCGGGCGACTGGGCATGGCGACAGGCTGTAAGTCAATCGAGTTAGTCATCGCGCCGAGATGTCATTGTGTTAATCATAGCGCTGTACTGGCCTTTTTGAACGATCCAGGACCTCATTGCGGCTGACTCCGAGTATGATACCTACGGGACGATGTTCACGCCGATCATCATGGGATCGGACAAGACGACCGTCTCTGTTGCGACCGGTCAGAACGAGTATTATCCGCTTTACATGTCCATTGGGAACATCCACAACAACGTTCGACGTGCTCACCGGAATGGTGTTCTTATCCTCGCCTTCCTTGCCATCCCGAAGAGTACGTACCATCCCCACAAGACCTGCAATGATATACTCAACTCGTGACGATCTTCACAGCGGAGAAAAAGCACGCACAAAGCAAGGCCTTCCGGCACTTTCGTAGGCAGCTATACCATTCAAGCGTGTCGATCGTACTCGAGCCGTTGAAGCCATACATGCGCGAACCGGATATTGTCCGTTGTTGGGATGGCTACTTCCGACGCTCGATCTACGGACTCGGACCATTTCTGGCCGACTATCCAGAGCAAGCACTATGTGCTTGCATCGTTTATGGATGGTGTGTGACGTACGTACCAAGTTGAATGCGTGTGCCGAAAGACTCCAGTTGTCACTGAGCTGGATAATGTGCAGGTGCCCGGGCGACCATAAGAATCTTGACGAGGGGTTGCTGCAAGGGCGGCGTACACGGGAGCACCGCGAGCTCCTGATCAAGAACATGGACGAGAAGAGACTGTGGGAGGATTATGGCATTATCAGCGATGTCATCGTAAGTTCATCTCTCCGACGTCTGCAGCATGCGGTTCGTACTCACAGTACACAGCCCTTCAGTAACGACTTCCCACGAGCTGACATTCACGAGCTTCTCTCCGGCGACATCCTGCATCAAATCATTAAAGGCTGCTTCATGGACCATCTTGTCACCTGGACCGGCCAATACCTCGTTCTCGTCCATGGTGAGGCTCGCGCAAAGGAGATAATGGACGAGATTGATCGACGGTAAGCTACCTCTACCATTCGTCACTTCTAGAGCACTCACGGAAGTCCCGGTACAGCATTGCTGCAGTTCCACCTTTCCCTGGTCTTCGACACTTCCATCAAGGCCGCGACTTCAAGCAGTGGACCGGTGACGACTCGAAGGCCTTGATGAAGGTATGTCTGGCGTTGTTCAGTGAAATAGCTTGTTGACTCGGACAAAACAGGTGTACTTACCGGCAATCCATGGTCTAGTACCCTCGGAGGTCGTCTGTGCCATGAGCACGTTCTTGGAGATCTGCTACATCGTCCGTAAGCCCATCCAGACGGACGCCACAATCTCTGAGGTCGAGCGACTCGTCGAGGAGTATCATCGCCATTGCGAGATCTTTCGGCAAGCCGGTGTGTGCCCAGATGGATTCTCGATGCCACGACAACACTCCGTTGGCCACTATCCCCGCCACATGCGAAACTTCGCGGCGATGACTGGGCTCTGTACATCGATCACCGAATCGAAGCATATCGACGCCGTGAAGAAGCCATGGCGTCGATCGAACAGGTATAATGCCCTTGGACAGATGTTGCTAACGAATCAGCGTCTTGACAAGCTCGCCGCATCGCGCGTCGACTTCAAGGCTCGCGGGATGCTCGAGGGAACCGTCCTCTCGCAGGCGATGCGAGAGGCAGCATCATCTGGTGGAGATCTGGCAGATGTCGAAGACGAAGACGAGCCTGGCTCACCAGTCAATGCCCACCAATCAATGGATGATGACGACGACGAGAACATTGATGCGGAGGACGAGATTGATGGGCCTACAATTGAGGCGTTTGTGGTCCTCGCCAGTCGCCCAGGTGAGTGCATGTTGATTCTGTTTTGTGACTCAAGAGCTTACTGTCTGACTCACTAGCACGGGGTTATCCAACGCGATCATTCATGGAACTTGGCGACTATGTCAGCGTCCCTGAGCTTCCCAGTCTCATTGCTCGCTTTCTGTTCTTCCAGCGTCACCCCAATCGCACAGACGAGCCGTCGGAAACTGAGGTCGCACGCTATCTACGGCACGTCAATACCACTACGCGTGTGCCGGTCTACAATTCCGCTGTGGCCACTTTCTTCGCACCCACAGATTCCGCTGGAAGCAATGGAATGCGTCGTGAACGCATCCGGGCGACTCGTACATGGCGGGGCTCGACATCCGGTCGTTACGACTGCGTCTTCATCAACAAAGACGACTCACAGTCTGGCTTTCGCGCGCTGCATGTCGCTCGTGTACGCCTTCTCTTCTCCTTTCGGCACGAGCAAATCCTGTACCCGTGTGCGCTGGTACATTGGTTCGTGCCGATCGGTGACGCGCCGAACAAGGAGACACGCATGTGGATGGTGGAGCCGGAATTCGAAGACGGGCGTCGGCCGTGCGAGGTTGTTCATCTCGACAGTATCATGAGACTCGCGGACTTGATCCCTGTCTACGGTGAGGAGTTCTTGCCGAAACATTTCAAGGCATCCGACTCGCTCGACGCGTTCCGCGCATACTGGGTCAACAAATTCATAGACAGCCAGGCTCACGACATAGCATACTAATCGGGCACTTACAAGTACATAAGTACTACAATACAACTCTACTTCCACTCGTTATTGACAGGAGGTGGTCTGAGAGGTCTGAAGGGTCTGTTGGGTCTGAAGCCGTCCGACGCAACTGAGAGTGTGCGCGTTGACCGCGTGCGGCCAGCGACCTACTTGGCGCCCGTCTAGTGTCAGACGCATCAGTAAGCTCAGGCGCCGTGTCAGACGCGCCAGTCACTTCAGGCGCCCTCAGACACCGCGCAGATTTGCTGATGCACATATCTTGAACTTGGACGTTCGAGTCAGAGACCCAAGTGCGGAGGACCCTTAGAGCTAAAAGAGCACAGGCTGCCAGAGGGTGACGGTTCATTCTCTAAACCAGCATTGCGCTCTCCACCCAAGGGCTGCTGAGAGACTATGATATGTGCAGGTCAGTTGGTGTCGCCGTACTACATACCTATCAGTAGGTCGCACAGACCATTAAGTCCCTGTAGAGAATCTTTCAAAGCTTGTAGTAGTGTTCCTTCTATGTATTCCTGTTCCAACCCTGTTTATGCTGGATGTATGTGCTACTGTATGCAACGTTCGTCTGCCGGAGCGAAAGACAAATATATCAGCAACAAACGCGAAAAGCCGCGCAAACACTTGTGGAAAGCGACGGCAAAAACAAATGGACATGTCCGGGATCGAACCGGACCCCTCTCGCAGGTAATGGTTTGCTAAGCGAGCGTGATAACCAACTACACCACATGCCCTATTGTTTGCTAAGTGCATAAAAAGGACCTCAGCCTTGTGGTACCAGCTGCTCTCAGACTGAAAGACTAGTACGTAGTAGACGTCGCATATAGAGATGCTCATCTGTTGTGTACGATGCGACTTAGCCTTAAATATCAAATGGCGACAATGAGGAGCCTGAAAGTTGCCTGAAAGAGTGGAAAGATCATGTGACTGACCACCATTCGATCCTAGGACTTGCTATTTTGGGTGCTCGAAGGCTCTCGAGCGCTAGTGCACCGAACTCGGTTTGCACCTTCACCTTCAAGCACAATAGCAACTGCGATTTTTGTGGCCATTATCTATCTCGCTTGCTTGCCTGTGACTGTATACCTCAATATCAATGCAGCGAGAAATATACATGAACATCCCGGCACAGAACCCTCAGACTGTGCCAAGCTTCGAGGTAAGGTCGCCGCCACTCGTAACCGCTGCCCGGATTCAACGTCCAAGGATGTCTCAAGCTCGTTCACATTTAGGAACGCCGTGTACAAGACTATTTTCATGCCTACCGGACAACGGGGAAACCACCAGCATCTTGTCCAGCACAACCAACCGATCGTGCACAACGCGCCTCACTTGGCTTACCCCCACTCATCGAGCCGCACTCGGAGATCGTGCGCGGCAGTACCGACATATTGCTTGACACCGACTCGCCCTCACCATCTATTGTGGTCAATGGTGGGGCGCCAGGAGCAATACCTGATACCCATACCTTCCGACCTGTACCGGTGGCGGGTGAGGCGCGTGGCGCGTTCTTCCAGTGCATCGTGAGCCAACCTGAATTCGTCGCATGGTCATTCGAGGTGCGTGACATCTCAAGATACTCTGAATGGAGGACTCGGTTATACATCACTGAGCTCTCGCAATTGCGGATGCCGTTTGACGTCCCCGCATAACCAGGAGTTGAGGGTCTCGGCGTATGCCAAAGGTCGCAAGCTTGCTCCTGAAGTTGTACAGCGGCCAGCTCTGCGTGAGTATGAAGTCTCTGAGATTTCTGTCTTTTCTCACTCTGCAATAGAACCTGCACCTGTGATGGCTAGTAGTACTAGTAACGGCTTCGCCCCAGAGAACTACCAAAACATCACGTGCAAACCAGATTACATCCAGCATAGCGTCGAGGTACGTGCGCGTTCATATGCTACTCAAACTATGCTCTCATCTCAAACTGAAACACAGGAACTGCGACTAGCTTTCTACCGCGCAGGGCGTCAGCTAAGGTCCGCAGAGATCATCCAACGGAATGCTGCTCTTCGGATAGCAAAGCCGTGAACGAACAAATGAACACTGCACTGCACTCAGACTTGTATCGTGCTATCATCTGCTATCTTGTACAACAATGTCTTTGTATGAATGTGAGTGAAATGTATTGAGAATATATACAATATCATAAATACGGCTCGTGCTATTATATAGTGTGGGTCCCGCCGCTGCTATTGGACCCGGGCAAGATGACGGTGTTCAGCCGGACGATACGCACGCGCGCGGCGTAGATCGCCGTCGTCGTCGTGTACCTCACGACGCCTCTCATGATGTCGTGTGTGCGGTTCGGCGTGAGCGCAACGCACGCGAAGGAGGACATGGACATTGTGCTCCCCGCTGTGCGACGAGATCGGCTACCTGCTCGACCTCAAGCAGGGCCAGGGCGAGCGCTGGTTGCCTCAGAAGATTCTAGACAGGGCGGTCGAACTGGTGAACATGACGGAGGAGTGAGTGAAATGCAATAAGAATATATACGATATCATAAATACTGCTCGTCGTGCTATTATACAGTGCGGGGATGAATGATACATGCTGATGTTCCAACGCACTCCAGGTGCTCGAATGCAAGAGTCCCTCGTCTGGGTGAGTTCTGCGTCCTGATCCCTCTACCGCCTGATGCGCGACAGCCACGACCACATCCTGGCGACGCGCTCGATGCGCGCCACCTCGTCCTCCGACACCTCGCCCTTCCAGACGCTCAAGAACTCGGGCTCGTCGTCGATGCAGCGGAGGGCGGTGTCGACGCTCTTCCCTGACGCGAAGGCGAGGTAGCAGCCCACGATGGACATGGCGTCCGTCGGCCGCCGCGGGGGCGTGGAGATCAGGATGCGCACGCCCTGCTTATCTCCCACTGTAGCTGCAGGACGAGTGGCGGCAGACGACTGCGACGCGGTACCGTAGGGGAGCGTCTCCGCAAGGAAGTCTCGCGCAGCGCGCAACTGCGCCTCGGTGAGCGCGAGTCCAGCACGCCCAGACTCTTCTGTCGACGCCTCCGGGAGGACGAGACGCAGCCGGTGCACGCGCCCCTCGTAGGCTTGTTCAGTGGACCCTGCATCGTACCCCGGCAGCGGGTGGCACACATCGACGACGTGCGTGTAGCCTTCGTGCGCTGTTTCCGTCTTGAACGCGGCGAAAAGCCCGGGGACGACTTCCTGGAGGCACGGTTCGTTGGGTCTGAGTGGCGGCACGAAGGCCCCGGGTGCGGGCGCTGACTGGGCTTGCTCGGGCTCGTCGTCATCGTGGAAGCTGTCGTACAGCACGAGGCGCTTCACCTGCGCCTTCCGCCTGCGCGGGAGGTGGTTACGATGCGGTTGGATGTGGCCCTTGGGCGACCACGGCCCCGCGCATGCCTGTTGCTGCCCGAAGGATGTCTTGATCGTCAGGCTGAGTTCTGCAGTGAACCCGCAGCGCTCGCGGAGCGGCCTGCGGAGCGTCGGCGCTGGCGGTGGGAACTTTGCGAGTGGACTCGTCGGGTAGATCCCGATGGAGGGTCCTGTTACTGGTATGGTCAAGTGTGGTGTTTGGACCGCAGTGGCCATGATGGCGCGAGGAATATCAATGAAAGAAAGGTGCGAACGTCTAGAGAGTGCGGTGAGTTGGGATAGGACCGAGTGCCAGACTCAAGAGATTGATACGAACTGATAAATGACTGTGAAGTATGCGAAGTTGCTTTATATGCTCGTTGAACACGAGGATCGTGGCACCAACAATGCTATCTGCACGAGGAAGGGCGGTGCCGGTGCTTATAGCGCGGGAAGGGTCCTCTGAGCTTCTCGCCTCGTTGTTGGTGGAACCCCATGAAAGCGATGAACTGCCTTATATACTCTCCTCGCCGCGTCGGATATGCGAGGCTCCAGAACTCTCGGATGGAGGTCTCGCGAATTCCGTGCCTTCTCCGTCGCCGACGAAGTGCACACCTGATCCGCTCCTGTGGCCCATAAAACGTGTTCGGAAGCGGATATCGGACACGAGGATTCCGCCGCTTGTATGCAACGATCGAGACCTACCTGACACCGTCTACTACTGTCGCCCGGTCGAAATCGAAACGCTCACCGAAGCCACTGACGGCGTCCCCGGGCCGCTAGTCCGTTCCTGACTTCAATAGTGGCCACATCATCCCAACTTGAACTGTGCGGCAGGGACTGCTGAAGTGAGCAGCACTGAACTTGTTATGCCTTCGCAACTGAGGAGACTGATAGCACAACCCAACTGCAGGGACTGATGGATGAGTATAACAATCACTCAACAACCATAATGGGAACAATGCATTGCCGACGACGATTGGGGCATGTCGCAGCCACAGAACACTCGAACGCGAGGTCCCATGTTGTATTGTCAGAACCCGGACCCTGGCCACATAGATTCGTACCACCATGATATCCTTGGTCATCGTAGTGCCAGCTATCTCCTAACGATTTCGTGCGAGTTGTGGTTTGCCGTGCACCTTCTCATGGCGACAGGTCCGAGTCCCAGTCCCTACGGCGAATCGAGTCAGTACAGTGTTATTGGTAGTGTCTTTGTATATCTACTCACGTGCACCTATCATGAGGGAGACAAAACTCTTCCAAGTCGGAATCGGAATCAGAGTCATATTCGGGCCAGTCCGCTGGCTTCTCTACGGCCAGGATCCGTGGAAGTGAATCCCAGAGCGCCTTTGGTGCTTTCTGTTCGGCCTCAACCTTGCAGACAGCATCCTCGCAACTTTGACACAGTTCTGCATCGGCTGCACATCTGCGTATCAAGCGCTCGCATGATCGAAAGGCCATGCGAAGCAGAGACTTCGGTGAGTACTGATGCAGGACGCAGGATCGCATGAAGTCGATGTTGCTCCGACAGTCTTCAGTCACCGGTTGATGGCTACACCTAAAGGTTGGTGCGAGCGAAGAGTGAGAAGGGTTCAGCGATTCCATGAGATCGGTGATGATATCCTGAAGGAGCGCTTGGCGAGCATTGATACAATGCACGATATCTCGCGAGCGCAGACGTTCGAGGGTACCGTCGGGCCGAGGGGAGCCGTGTAGTAAATCATAAGGATCGAGCTGGCAGCAGATAAATAGGGCGCTGGGCAGCATGGAGTCGGTTCCGGTAAGCCGCGCGATATTGACTGCTTGGATGGCATCTGTGCCGCAAAAGTACATCGAGGAATTGCCGGAGTTCTTGTATACTGCGATCCATGTCTTGAAGTCGGTGCAGAAACACGACTTCATCCTCGAAAGGTAGGCATCGCGCACCCATTCGATCTGGTATTTGTGAGACAGTCGGATGAGGGCAGCAACGACCGCAAACTCGAGTTGTTCGTCGGAGGGATAGTACCTGTAAAGTTGGCCTTCACTTCAGCACTGCATACACTAAACAGTATCAAACGACGCGCACTCAAAAAGTACTTGGAGGAGATGACGGAGTTCTATGGGATGGTCATGAAGATGGACGACAGGACATCCGTCAATCGTCTCCACAGCCTTCGGTTGAGCGATCGCGAACAAGTCACGAAAAACGTCAGAGTTGAGAGCAAGTAGTCCTTGATATACTTTGAAGACGTGTCCCTGTGCCTCGAGAACAACGTCACCGTCCGGGTACCATATATCTTCGTCGCGTACGAACGCAGCGGCCATTTCTCTGCAGTGCGCTTGACAATGAAAGGCCAACGGCTACGTGCAGCAATATAGTCAAGCGAGTATTAGACAAAGCACAGCGGTTCTGCAGGAAGCATCGTGAAGAA